TGGACCATATAGCTCTTGGTAAGATCAAAACTCTTAAGTTTATAGAAGAAAACCTGAAAGAAAATCTTGACAATGGACAGGCAAGTATTTTTTAGATGGGACACATGAGCATGAACTATAAAAGGAAAACATTGATAAAATAGAGTTCACCAGATTGAAAACTTGTGCTTTTAAAATAATATTAAAATTGACAAAAACCATGTCATAATCTGGGAAACAGAACTTGAGCTGAATGTGGCAGCACCCACCTGTAGTCCTAGCACTCTGAGAGGCTACGGGTAGAGAATCAGAGTTCAAGTCCAGCCTGGGAAACTTAAAGACAGAGTGAGATGCTGTCTTAAAGATAAAAAGTGGTCTGGTGATGTAGTTTGGTGTGAAGGCCCCACGTTCAATCCCCAATATGCCAAACACTCACCAAAAGCTTGTAGTAAGATTTTTAAAATCTGAGCAAAAGATGTGACATATACTTTCAAAAAAGATGGTGTGTACATGACCCACAGGGTCATGAAAAATGTCCAAATTCATTAGTATTTAGGGATTTGAAAATTATCACGCTGAGGTCACATTAACACTCTGTGCCTGTTTGAGATGTTCAGCAGTGTAAGATGATATAGTTGTTTGGGAAAACATTTTGTTACTTTTTAGAAGAGTGAGTATATTTTCCCCACATATCCCATAGACTTCCAGTTCCAGGTACTTTCCTGAGAAAAATGAAAGCATAGTCATAAAAAGAGTTCTAGAGATGTACCTTTAAGATGTAACTGCTGACTGAAGCCTTACACGGAAGAGGGTGTGCTCTTTTAGTCCATTTGTGTCAAATTCTAGATAATAGAATAGAAGTAATCCATGTGGACAGGAGATTAGTCATAGTCTTGACTTTGGGATAGACATGGGAAATTATACAAGAAAGAGCCTGAAGAACCTTTTGGGGATATTGGAAATGTTCTGTATCTCTTGGTGGAGGTTATGCGGTGAATACGTTTTAAAAATTTAGCCTGTGTACTAAAGGTGAGTGCTTTACTCTTAAAAAAAACTTTACCCCAGTTAAAATAATTACATGCCTTAAAGCCGGTAGTTGCAGACAGATATCTAGAGGAGATTGTTTTTCATGAAATTGAGAATTTGCAAAGTAAAAAATGGTAGATGGTCAGAATTTCTGTTTGAAAATGGTAGACAGGAACAAATACAGGAGCTGAGCTATATCCCTGGCTTGTTTAGGTTTTGATACATACCTGCTTTGTTGCTTGTCATCAAATTAAGGAAAAATTTGGCCAATTTTTCCAAAAATTTTTTTGTTATGATTTCTCCTTTCCTTCTGAGACTTTTATGTATTAGGTTATATGGTAGTTCATAGGTTGCTCAGACTCTTGTTTTTCTTCTGTTTTGTCCTTTGTTTTCTTTACATTGGATAATTTTTACTTTCCTGATTTTGTTGTGCTATTTCCAGTCTCCACTTAATTAAACTGAGTGAAGTTTTCATTTCAGAAATTTTCAGTTCCAGAATGTCCGTCTGGTTCCTTTGTACAGTTTTCTTTGCTCTCCTTAGATTTCTTCACGTTTAGCTTATTAGGACTGTTTCCTTCTTTAAATCCAAGAATATAATTCTGATAAGTATTTTAAATTTGTTTTTTTTTGCTTATCCCAGCCATGGGAAGATCTTGGAATCTGGTGGTTTGGGGATGTGATCAGGAAGGGGGATTCAACAGGGCTTTATTTTTTTTTTTATTTGTTTTGTCTTGTTTTTTCTCATAGGGCTTTATGTTTTAATCTGAGTTGTCAATCTCAAGTTTTCAATATATTATATCTTATGCTTCTTTTTTTTTTTTTTTTTTTTTTTGGTTTTTTGGTTTTTCTCCGGTACCAGGAACCGAACTCACGACCTTGCGCTTGCCAGGCAGGCGCTTTTGCCGCTGAGCTAAATCCCCAGCCCCATCTTATGCTTCTTGTATGTTTAAAATATTTAATGATTGATCTAAAAGTCATTACATTGAAGGATATAAAAAAGTCAGATATAATTAAAAAGAACCACTATGTTTGTGGAGAAGATTCTCCAAGAAGGGGGAAAAAATTCCCTGTCAGAACTTCTGCAGTATAGAAAAGTTTAAGAACATGAATCTGTGCTTGGGACATAGCACAGACGTAGAGCACTTGTATTAAACCAGTAAAGCAGTAGCACAGATCAATACTCTAAGGTATCAGAATGATAATGGAAATAGTTTTTCAAACTAATTGAGCAAACACAAAACAATGCCTGTGTGAGTTCAGAAAATAGAGAAAAAATAGCTGAAAATTGAATTACTTATGTTGAGGAAAGTCATAGGATGTTATGTTTCAATATATGAAGGAAAATAATGAAGATGAAAGGTAGAAAATTATAATCTGGGATGGACATAATTGAGGTCCATAAAGTAGGAAATGAACAAATAGAACAAAAATATATGTCCAAGTAAAAACAAGTTTGTCCTGTATACTGTTGGTCTCAAGGTGTATTATATTCACAGTACTTGTTTTTTTTTTTTTTTTTTTTTTTTTTTTTTTTTTTTGGTTTTTCTCCAGTACCGGGAACCGAACTCACGACCTTGTGCTTGCCAGGCAGGCGCTTTTGCCACTGAGCTAAATCCCCAGCCCTCACAGTACTTATTTTTGTACATCTGTTTTCACTTCTCTTGGGAATGTATACTTAGCATTGGAGCAGCTGGGTCATAGGGTAACTCAGTCCTTAACTGTTGATGAACTATCAGAATGCTCTCCAAGATGAGTACATAATTTCACATTCATTCTTGTAAAGGGTCTCATTTTTTCACATCTTTGAAAACTTAGCTGTCTTTGATTTGCAGTTTTCTGATGACTAATGATATTGACCATCTTTTTATATACTAATTAATTATTTTTATTTTTACTTTTACTTTAGAAAATATTTAAATCCTTTGTATACTCTTAAATTAGATTTTCATCTTTTTATTGAGTTGTAAGAGTTCCTTTTATATTCTGAGTACAAATTCCTTCTCAGATAAATGATGTACAAATAACTTATACTGTTTTTTAAAAATTTATACTATGTTGTGAGTTGTATTTTCACTTTCTTGATATGGTAGTATTCTTTAAAGCAGAGAAGTGTCTAATTTGATAATACTTTTTTGTCCATTCTTCTTTGATTCTTGTGCTTTTAGTGCCATGCCTGTTACAAGTCCAGTATCTATAAGATTCATTTTCTTCTAAAATGTAGTATTAGTGCTTACATTTAGTTCTTTTGTCCAAGTTTATTCTTTTTTGCTTGTGGAAATACAGCTTTCACACAGTTACTGAATAGATTATTCTTTCTCTGCTGACTGTCATGGCACTCTTGTCAAAAATCAGTTCATCAGGGTTTATTTCTGGACTAACAGTTCATTTCATCATGACAATTACTATGTCTTTGTAGTAAATTTTGAAATTGGGAAGTGTGAGTTGTCCAAGTTTGCTTTTAAGGATTTTGTTTTTTTGGTCCATTGTGGGTCCTTTGCATTTCTGTATTAATGTTAGGATCAACTTGTTCATTTATTTTTTTTTTGTTTTGTTTTGGTGCTGGGAATCGAACTCAGGACCTTGCACTTGCTAGGCAGTCATTTGTGCCACTGAGCTATATCACCGGCAACTTGTTTATTTCTATAAGAATAGATAACTGAAATTTTAATAAAAATTGGATTGAGCTATAGGTCAATTTGGGAAGCGCTGAAATCTTTATTTTCCAGTTCATGAATGTGGGTGGTATTCCATTTATTTAGATCTTTGATTTCTTTTAATGATGTTTTATAGCTTTCAGTGTAGATGTCTTATATTGTTTTGTTAAACATAATATATTATTTTAATACTATTAATGGAATTGTTTTCTTATTTTCAGGACACTTCTATTGTGTAGAAATATAATTGATTTTTATATTGATTTTGTTTCCTATAATTATGCTGAATTTATTAGTACTAACAAATTTTTGTGGATTCCTTAGGATCTTTTTTACATATAAGATAATGTCATATCAAATAAAGATAACTTTCATTTCTTCCTTCTATATATTACATAAATGTTTATATATGTGTATTATGAAAATAGCCTCATACTTACTGAATTTATAAGAAAATTATACTTTAAAATATTGGTAATCAATTCTAAAGGAAACAAATCATTTTTAATTTTTTGTCCCTTTATAAGATCAGTTGATATATAAAATTGGTTATCCATATCAGCAATGTATTTGTTGCTAAAAAATATGCAAAGGGGTTATATTCATTCATTCATTCATTCATTCATTCATTGTACTGGGGGTTGAACCCAGGGTCTTCATGCTGAGCTACATCCCCAACCTTTTTTATTTTTTGAGACAAATTCTCTGTACTATAATTGCCCAGGGAGGGCTCAGATTTGCAGTCCTCCTATCCAAGACTTCCAGAGTATTAGAATTACATATTTGCCACCGTACCTGGCTAGAAATTTTTTGAGTATCAAAATAAGATATAAATGTACATATTTTTATTTCTTCAACCCAGTTCCCCTTGTATTTATGATTGTTAATGTTGAAAGAAGTTGTTAAAAGAGTTCATTATTAAATTTCCTAATTGGGATAGTTGTTACTAAGTGAGATCTGTAAATGATGGTAACGGTTATGGGACTTGGCTTATACTATTTTTTTTTTTTTTT